AGCTCGTAAATTGTATCCCTTCTGGCATCCTGGCCAGCTCTGTTACACTGGTGTAAGCCCTGGTTCACCAGAAGCCCAGAAAAGCAGCAAATAAAATCCACTCATATGCCAGCAACTGATAAGACTTGTCAACCAGTTCGTCCAAAGTCTTCCTAAATTATAAAGATCCAAAATACAGGCCAAAAGAGAGCAGGTCTGGGAAGAGCGAGGCATACAATGGGCACCACCAGTGAAAAGGACCTGCTCCATGTAACTCCTGCCCTGTCATTTGATAGAGTGCCCACTTGCCTTCTTTCTTGACATGGAATGCTCTCTATTGGAGTCTCCAGGTCCAGCACAAAGACCATAAGAAGGGAGAGCAGGGACCTTGAAGTTCCCAACAGCTGTTAAGCAAGCAAGCAAGCACACAGGTCACCTTTGTCACAGTCAGGATGCCTATGTCCTGGCCAGGCCTGCACCTAATCTTGCTTTTGTACAATCTTGTTTGTCCTCAGTGACCAAAATGATATTATCAACATATACAAGCAGAAAAGTTGCTTTCCTTCATTTGCAAGGGATTGTACAAAACAAAGTGGCACTAATAAAGAAAAGTTCCAGGGTGGCAACAGAAAGTAAACTAAAAATGCTTTTGCAGTTCATCAAAACTATGCAGCAATATCAAGTTTTGGGAAAACTGGTGCTATTAACAGTAATCCTTCTAGTTGGTTAATTGGTTCAGAAACTTCCATGCACATGACATGGGATGCTAATTATTTCCCCCAAGAGTTAAATGATAAGTAATCAGAGGCAGCTACAGGAGAGCTATGAGATTCAGGTGAGGGTCAGATGCCTTGTCAATCCCAGCAGGTATATAAGAGGACGACCCGGCCTGCCCAGGCCTGTGGCCTGCCCAGCATTCTCCTAAAGAGGGGAAGCCTATCGTGGAAGACTTGGGTATAGTACGCAGATCTGAAAGGGCCACAAAGGGTAAACTACCCAAAAGGTATGCTGTAGAGTTTGCTAAAACAGTGATAGCAGATACAGCTGTTGATAGTAACTCAGAGAAGGTTTGGGAACCTTCAAGCTTCCAAGAGGTCCAAAGTTTAACCTCAGAGGATGCTGAGCCATGGCTGGTAGGTAAAAGAACAAGGGCCAGAGTTGGTGTCACCTGGAAGCTGGAGAGAAAGAGACCTGTTTGCTCTGTGCTGAACTCCAGGGATCTCCTGCAAACCTAAAGGGGAAGCAAGATCTACTGGAGTGTTAATTCTGTGAGCCCCTCCATTGTATGCAAAGCCTGGATATATTTATGTGCAAATAAAACCATATATCCTAAAAGACATCACAGTCTCCACTAACCCTCATTCCAAGGAAACAGAACCTTGGGTAAGCGCAGGAATCCATGGAGTTTCTCACCGCTCAGAGATTAGGGTGGCACATAGCATAAGGGTTGTCATATTTCAAAAAGTGAAAATCCGGACACCAAAGTTGTTGATTTGACAGCAGATTCCCGGCTATGTCCAGACATATGGCAACCCTAACATAACAATATGTTTAAAAATAGTACTTGGCAAACATAACAATGCCTGGATCCACCACCACCCCCTCTCCCAATTAAAAATCTTACTCTCAATCTTAAAGGCTGCCAGGGCAAATATAGCTAGCTGCATTTGGAGTCTTTGCAGCCTAGCAATTTGAAGAACCCAAGTCCATCAAGATCGGTTGCCCAAAATATGGCATCTACATTGTGGAAGAAGTAGGAGCTCTGTTTTTGTTTGTTTGTTTCTGTTTTGTTTTGCATTGTCAAAAATTGCATATTCAGGCCCAGATTTAATGTTCTCTGACCGCCACAGCAAGAGCTGTTGTGCAATACAAAATCCAGCACAAGAGTTGTGCTAGCAGGCAGAAGATTCTTCTGCAACAAGTTGTGCAAGGGGAAGCATTGGTGTGACAGCAATCAGGGCTCCTGCCAGCCATACTTGCTTCCTGCATCTCCTTTTGCACAAACCATCCTGCTAGCACTAAGGTAAAGGTAAAGGGACCCCTGACCATTAGGTTCAGTCGTGGCTGACTCTGGGGTTGTGGCGCTCATCTCGCTTTATTGGCTGAGGGAGCCAGCATACAGCTTCCGGGTCATGTGGCCAGTATGACTAAGCCGCTTCTGGCGAACCAGAGCAGCACACGGAAACGCCATTTACCTTCCCGCCGGAGCGGTACCTATTTATCTACTTGAACTTTGATGTGCTTTCGAACTGCTAGGTTGGCAGGAGCAGGGACCGAGCAATGGGAGCTCACCTTGTTGCGGGGATTCGAACCGCCGACCTTCAGATCGGCAAGCCCTAGGCTCTGTGGTTTAGCCCACAGTGCCACCCGTGTCCCAGCCTGTTAGCACTAGTGCACCTCTAAAGGACTTTAACTTGTTGCTATGTGAAATCCTCTCTCAGATTCAACTCTTGCATATCACCCATTTTACCAACATAAGAAGTTAGTCAGCTGCCTTATACTGAGTCAGACCATCTGGTTCGGTATTGCCAACACTAACTGACAGTAGTTCCCCAGGGTTACAGGTCCAATTCCATACCAGGATTCCTGTCTGAAAGCCTGAAGGGTTGCTGTGAGTCAGAGCAGGCAATATTGAGCTAGATGACTGAATGATCTGACTTACTGTACATGGCAGCTTCCTGTGATCCTGCAATGTGTCCCAACCAGAGCAGGAATGTGGCTGCGGCGGCTGCCTCAAGGAAGGCTAAGTATGCATTGAGCATCCAGCCTGCCTGCCATACCATTTGGGAGCTCCAACTGTCTGTGCTTGATAGGCTAATGCTTAATCCCTCTAATGTGCTGGATAGTTCCTGAAAAGTGGGATAATCCCTCGTGCATTTAAGAGGCGTTCTTAGCAACAATCCCTTTAGCGGAGACTTGCTCCAATAATAGCCAGATTAGTCGCTGGGGCTGCAGGGGCCTTTCTGATCTGGGTCAGTGCTCTACTTCTCTTCCTTCCCATTGAGCAGGTGGGCAATTTGCAGGGCAAACTGTGTGCAGCTTCCGACCCAGTAAACTGAGCTCAAGCTAAAAGTGACGTACTGTATTCCCCCTGGAAAGAGCAGGCAGGCAAGGCTGCAACTTGGTTCTTGACAGTCGTGGCTGCTGGATACTGGTAGGGTGGGATTCAGGGAGCCTGACAGCAGGTGGCGCTAAAGACAATGGAGGTGGAGCCAACTAATTCTACTGTTCTTTGCCGCCATCCTCCTCCTTGTCATAATAATAATAATTTATTATTTATACCCCACCCATCTGGCTGGGTTTCTTCAGCCACTCTGGGCGGCTCCCAATAGAATATGTGAAACACGATAAAACATCAAACATTAAAAACTTCCCTGAACTTCAGATGTCTTCAAAAAGTCGAATAGTTGTTTATCTCCTTGACACCTGACATGAGGGCATGCCAGAGGGAGGGCGCCACTACCAAGAAGGCCCTCTGCCTGGTTCCCTGTAACCTCACTTCTCACAGTGAGGGAACCACCAGAAGGCCCTCGGAGCTGGACCTCAGTGTCCGGCCAGAACGATGGGGGTAGAGATGCTCCTTCAGGTATACTGGGCCAAGGCCATTTAGGGCTTTAAAGGTCAGCACTAACAATTTGAATTGTGCTCAGAAACGTACTGGGAGCCAATGTAGGTCTTTCAGGTGTTATATGGTCTCGGTGGCCACTCCCAGTCACCAGTCTAACTGCCACATTATGGATTAGTTGTAGTTTCCGGGTCACCCTCAAAGGTAGCCCCATGTGGAATGCATTGCAGTAGTCCAAGCGGGAGATAACTAGAGTATGCACAACTCTGGTGAGACAGTCTGTGGGTAAGTAGGGTCTCAGCTGGTGCACCAGATGGAGCTGGTAGACAGCCGCCCTGGACACAGAATTGACCTGCGCCTCCATGGACAGCTGTGAGCCCAAAATTACTCCAAGGTTGCACGCTTGAGTTGAGTTCTGCAAGTGCAATGCTAAAGCAGAGGAGGATGGTTCATTAAAGCAAGTGGGGAGCTGTCCTACCAAGCTCTGTCTGCCTTCAGTCATCTCCTGCCTACCTCTTTAGAATCGTAGAGTTGGAAGGAGTCCCAAGGATCATCTAGTCCAATGCAGGAATCTCAGCTAAAGCATCCCTGACAGATGACCACCCAACCTATGCTTAAAAGCCTCCAATGAAAGAGAGTCCACCACCTTCTGAGGGAATCCGTTTCACTGTTGAACAGCCCTTACTACCAAAAAGTTCTTCCTAACATTTAGAATCTCTTTTCTACCCTCTGGAGCAGCAGAAAACAAGTTTGTGTCATCTTCCACACGACAGCCCTTTGGATATTTGAAGAAGGCTCTCATATCACCTCTCAGTCTTCTCTTCTCCAAGGTGAACACACCCAACTCCCTCAACTGTTCCTCACAAGGCTTGGCTTCCTTCTTAGGGGCCACGGAGGGATTTGACTGGGAATGGTCCGAGGTCCAAAAAAAGAAGCATGGAGGGCCACACTAAGTGCCCAACCTGTGGTTCCTCACTCCTGCATTAAGCGTTTAGCAGCCCTGGGAGAAAGCCAGACTAGCTGAACTAGAAGAGAGCCACCAGTTCGCTATGTTGTGGGAAAGGAGGGTGTGGACATCTGGCGGGGGCTGGGGCATGACTGCTACTCACAGAGGAAGTGGGTCGTCCCCCCTGCCGCATGAGCAGCCTTTGCTAGAATGACTCACAGACCCGATTCATGTCATTGCGCATTAGTTCAAGCCTATTGAAGCTGCACATTCTGGCATCCTGGAGAGATGTGCTTTGAGCTGTCCTCTTTGCAGACCATCTGGGAGCCGCTCCCTGATGCCTTCTGACTGCAGCGCATGACCAGGACTTTGGACAGATCTTTCCTGGCCAAACTGTTACGCTTGATGGCCAGGGATTTGAGTCATAGGTTCCGCCATCATGGGCGGAAACATAGGAAGCAGCCCAATACTGAGCCAGGCCATCCACCTAGCTCAGTGTTGTCTACATGGACCTGACAGCTCAGTCAGTAGAGCATGAGACTCTTGATCTCAGGGTTGTGGGTTTGAGCCCCATGTTGGGCAAGAGACTCCTGCATTGCCCAGGGTTGGAATAGATGACCCTCGCGGTGCCTGCCACCTCTACAACTCTATGATTGCCAGTTGCTCCCCAGCGTTTCAGAGTTTCTTCCAACTCTACCTGGAGATGCCATAAATTATTAGGTTCTATTTATTGGGAAAGGATGCGGGTGCCACTGTGGGTTAAACCACAGAGCCTACGATTTGCCGATCAGAAGGTCGGCGGTTCGAATCCCTGCGACAGGGTGAGCTCCCGTTGCTCAGTCCCTGCTCCTGCCAACCTAGCAGTTTGAAAGCATGTCAAAGTGCAAGTAGATAAATAGGTACCGCTCCGGCGGGAAGGTAAACAGCGTTTCTGTGCGCTGCTCTGGTTCGCCAGAAGCGGCTTAGTCATGCTGGCCACATGACCCGGAAACTGTACGGCGGCTCCCTCGGCCAATAAAGCAAGATGAGCGCCGCAACCCCAGAGTTGGCCACGACTGGACCTAATGGTCAGGGGTCCCTTTGCCTTTACCTATTTATTGGAAGTGAGAGCTGGACCATAAAGAAGGCTGATCGCTGAAGAACTGATGCTTTTGAATTATGGTGCTGGAGGAGACTCTTGAGAGTCCCATGGACTGCAAGAAGATCAAACCTATCCATTCTGAAGGAAATCAGCCCTGAGTGCTCACTGGAAGGACAGATCGTGAAGCTGAGGCTCCAATACTTTGGCCAACTCATGAGAAGAGAAGACTCCCTGGAAAAGACCCTGATGTTGGGAAAGATGGAGGGCACAAGGAGAAGGGGACGACAGAGGACAAGATGGTGGGCAGTGTTCTTGAAGCTACCAGCATGAGTTTGACCGAACTGCGGGAGGCAGTGGAAGACAGGAGTGCCTGGCGTGCTCTGGTCCATGGGGTCACGAAGAGTCGGACACGACTAAAAGACTAAACAACAAGAAAATTTATTGGATCATTCAATTTATATACCCACCTTTCCTCCAAGGAGCTCAAAGTGGCATACATGGTTTTCCCCTCCGTGTTTTATCTTCACAACGACCCTGTGAGGTAGGCCAGGCTAAGAGACAGTGGCTGGCCCAAGGTCACACCCAGTGAACTTCATGGCTGAGTGGGAATTTGAACCCTGGTCACTCGCTTCCTAGTCCAGCATTCTAACCACTACACCACACTGGGACCTTAAACCCTGGACCTTCTGCACCCTAAGCTCTCCCCCTGAGCTATAGCACTTCCCAAAAGTGAGTCTGAACTGTTGGCCTGGCTCCTTGGGGCACTTCCATTGCCCTGATGAGATTTGCGGCTGGGATTTCTTCAGTAATATCCAGAGTTCATACCGCCTCACTTTTTGAAAGCACAGTGTACACCAGAAATGAGGCTAGCCTTAACAAATGTTATTTGGAGCAACCGTCAAACAGATCTTACAAAACTGGGCTAATAAACGTGAAAACTCTTTATTGTTGACTTATTCCAGACTTGATACCCTTAAGGCTGCTTTTCCTGTAGCTGCAAAACAGTATTAAAAACAAAGCTAAGAGAGAGAGAGACTTTTGATAAACTAAACATGCTTTTAAAGCTATGCAATTTTCATTATGTTATTATCAGGGTCTTTCGGATTACTTTTTTTTAATTATCTGCTGGCGTAACGAGGGACACATTTATTAATCGCATCCAGAAGTTGTTGTCGAAAGAGATTCTTGGGACAATTTGTTTTATTATTTTTATTTATTGAAATTTGTATGCCACCCTCCATCCACAGATCTCAGGGAGGTTCACAACATAAAAAATGCGAGATAAAAACACAAAATACACAAAATACTTGCACTTTGACATGCTTTCGAAGGGACCGAGCAATGGGAGTTCACCCCGTCGCGGGGATTCGAACCACGACCTTCTGATCGGCAAGTCCTAGGCTCTGTGGTTTAGACCACAGCGCTACCTGCGTCCCTTGAAGGAGGGGTAGAGTGCCAGAAAAAGAAGCCTGGGGGGCCACATTTGGGGACTGAGGTTCCCCATGGGAACCAGGGGGATGATGGTGAGTCTTGTGCCACCTAACATTTTGTTTTCACCCTTCCTGGAATGAAAATGGCAAGTGGGCATCCTTCGGGCACCATTCACCACCCCAGAAAACTGGGTGAAAAGTTCAGCCCATGGAGAAGCTCGCCCATGCAAACGCATTTCAAATGTGCATCACACAAGGGGGTGATCCAGTGGATCACCAAAGTGTTGGTACTTACCTTTAAAGCCCTAAACGGCCTTGGCCCAGGAGTGTCTCCACCCCCATCATTCAGTCCGGACACTGAGGTCCAGCTCCAAGGGCCTTCTGGCAGTTCCCTCACTGCGAGGTTACAGGGAACCAGGCAGAGGGCCTTCTCGGTAGTAGCACCCGCCCTGTGGAATGCCCTCCCATCAGATGTCAAGGAGATAAACAACTATCTGACTTTTTGAAGACATCTGAAGGCAGCCCTGTTTAGGGAAGTTTTTAATGTTTGAAGCTTTATTGTGTTTTTAATATTCTTTTGGAAGCGGCTCGAGTGGCTGGGGAGGCCTGGCCAGATGGCGGGGTATAAGTAATAAATTATCATCATCATCAAATTGGGGATTTCCTTCCTTAGGCACCAGACTCCTGTGGGTGGCTCTATGTGACATATCCATCCAGCTCTTTCTCCCTCTCTCTCTCTCAACCTCTGGAGTTCCTCCAACAATGTAGGAAGATGGCGAGAGCGCCTGGAGACTCGCTGGGTGTTTGCGTGTGCTCATTTGTTAATGTTTCCTCGACGGCTTTTGAAGATGAAAAGATCCAGCCAGAGCCAGTGTGAGGTGTGAGCAACCTTTCATAATTTATTCATGGCCTTTTAAAATATGCAGGGTTGTAGAATAAGCAGAAAGGAGAAGGCGGAAAGAAAAAAAATCGCACTCCCCGCCCCCCCCGCCCCGGAAATCCTGCAAGGTCCACGAGGGGTGGATCCACTATGAAGCTAATGAAGATTAAGCTTCAGGACCCCTAACCCTGGAGAGACTCCAGAAGCAACTTTAATCCACATTGCTTAAACATTTGGGGTCTAGTAGAGTCGCACAACTCAAATTGATTGATTTTTCGTTGTATATACATACCCGCCAACGTTTCTCCAATGAAAATAGGGATGTCCAAGTAAATAATAATAATAATAATAATAATAATAATAATAATAATTTTATTATTTATATCCCGCCCATCTGACTAGGTTGCCTCAACCACTCTGTGTGACATCCAACATATATAAAAACATAATAAAATGTTGAACATTTTTTTAAAAAACCCTTTCCACATTTAAAAAATCCTTTCCACATTCAGCGTTGCCTTAGGATGTCTCCTAAAGGTTATATAGCTAGATATCTCTTTGTGTCAAGGGTCGCCTAACTCCATACCCGCCAATGAAAATAGGGACATGCTACTGTATACCAGTGGGGACGTGGGTGGTGCTGTGGGTTAAACCACAGAGCCTAGGACTTGCCAATCAGAAGGTCGGTGGTTCGAATCCCCGCGACGGGGTGAGCTCCTGTTGCTCGGTTCCTGCTCCTGCCAACCTAGCAGTTCGGAAGCACGTCAAAGTCCAAGTAGATAAATAGGTACCACTCTGGTGGGAAGGTAAACGGCATTTCCATGCGCTGCTCTGGTTTGCCAGAAGCAGCTTAGTCATGCTGGCCACGTGACCCGGAAGCTGTACGCCAGCTCCCTCGACTAATAAAGCGAGATGAGCGCTGCAACCCCAGAGTTGGTCACGACTGGACCTAATGGTCAGGGGTCCCTTTACCTTTACTGTATACCAGTATAAGCATTTTTCCATATGTTTTTTGGCTGGAGAAGTGTGTCAAGAATTCAGAGAATTTAATATTTTTGAAGGATGGGTTTTGGTTCACATATATGTTTGAGAAGTGCAAATTAAGTAGCTCTGCATTAAAATGCAAGCAGAGGTCAAACGATTTATTCCCCAACCCTAGTGTTGTGTCAACATCTGCAGGAAAACTAAACTTAACACATTGACTTGGGCTTGAGTCTAGGCTGCTTGTTAAGGCTGAGCTGCTTCCCATCAACCCACCCTGCCCTTTTCCTTTTCAAATCTCTGCTTCACGGCAGCTGCGGAACCGGCTGGAGGTACGTGGCACGTGGCCTGGAAGGCGAGTTCTATAAATGGGACGAACAATGGCATTATCTGCGCAACCGAGCCATAATTTTCATTAGCGTGACATCTTTGCGGCGTCTATCCCTGCTGTTGCTGTCCAAACGTTCAGGGCAGATTATGATCATGGCTGTAATTTATTGCCAAACGGCAGATTCTTACTGGGGGTTTAGGGAGGGGTCCTTCTAGGAGTGTGTCATTTCCTTCTTTGCAAAAGGAGAGAGAGAGAGAATGAGAGAGAGAGAGAGAGAGAGAGAGAGAGAGACTTGACAAAGGAAGAGCTTTTCCCTAACTTGCTTAGAACTTCGGTTGACATTTCCTAAATAAATGGACACCGCAAGAGATACAAGTTTCTCTCTAGATAGAAAGATGATAGATGATGATAGATAGATAGAGATGATAGATGATAGATAGATAGATAGATAGATAGATAGATAGATAGATAGATGATAGATAGATAGATAGATAGATAGATGATAGATAGATAGATGATAGATAGATAGATAGATAGATAGATAGATAATAGATCATAGATACTGAAGACAGATAGATGACAGATAGATAGATGATAGATAGATATAGAAAGATGATAGATAGATGATATAAATAGATGATAGATAGATAGAGAGAGAGATGATAGATATAGATAGATAGATGATGATAGATAGATAGATAGATAGATAGATAGATAGATGATAGATGACAGATAGATAGATGATAGATAGATAGATGATAGATAGATAGATAGATAGATAGATAGATAGATGATAGATAGATAGATAGATAGATAGATAGATAGATAGATAGATGATAGATAGATAGATAATAGAGATAGATAGATAGATAGATAGATAGATAGATAGATAGATGATAGATAGATAGATAGATAGATAGATAGATAGATAGATGATAGATAGATGATAGATGATAGATAGATAGATAGATAGATAGATGATAGATCATAGATACTGAAGACAGATATATGACAGATAGATAGATGATAGATAGATATAGAAAGATGATAGATAGATAGATGATATAGATAGATAGATAGATAGATAGATAGATAGATAGATAGATATAGATAGATAGATAGATGATAGATAGATAGATGATAGATAGATAGATAGATAGATAGATAGATGATAGATAGATAGATATAGATAGATAGATAGATGATAGATAGATAGAGAGAGAGATGATAGATATAGATAGATAGATGATAGATGATAGATAGATAGATAGATAGATAGATAGATGATAGATGATAGATGATAGATGACAGATAGATAGATAGATGATAGATAGATAGATAGATGATAGATAGATAGATAGATGATAGATGATAGATGATAGATGATGATAGATGGATGATAGATAGATAGATAGATAGATGATAGATGATATATAGATTCCCTAAATCAAACCATAAGAAGAACCAGTTGGATCAGGCCAATGACCACCTAGTTTCATGTATATTGCACCTTTCTTACAAGTTGCACAAGATGACATACAGTGGTACCTCTGGTTGCAAACGGGATCTGTTCCGGAGTCCCGTTTGCAACCTGAAAGGAATGCAACCACGTCTGTGCACATGTGGGTCACGATTTGCTGCTTCTGCACATGCGTGTGATGTCATTTTGCGCGTCTGTGCATGCGCGAGTGGTAAAACCCAGAAGTAACCCTTTCTGATACTTCCAGGTCGCCGCGGGACACAACCTGAAAAAACGTGTCATGAAGCAAATGTAACAAGAGGTATGACTGTACAAGGTTCTCTCCGAGACCAGGGAGAAGAGTCGGTGAAAGAAGACTGGAAGAAATTTAAAGACTATTTACAGAAATATTGTAAAATTAATGAATCTTAGAAGGATGTTGGATAGAAACTAAGTGGTTTCCAGCTGTAATGCTTTAATAGATACGAAAAAAGGTTTACAAATGGGTAAAAGCTTAATGGTAAGGATTTGCTGAACCAACAAACTGAACTGGAATACAAAAAAGGGAGGTACGAGGAGGTACGGGGAAATAAGTGTAAGGAAGATATGCTATGGAAAATTAATGTGTTCTTAACTGTTTTTATTTTGTATGTTTCTTTTTATTTTTTATTTCTTTGTTATATCTTAATAAGGGGTTTTTTATTTTTCTTGTTGTATTTTGTATTTTCTTGTATCTTTACTTTTTGTTTTTGTGTAATTCTTGTATTCTTTGAAATCTTAATAAATATCATTAAAAAAAATATATGACTGTACAAGGTTCTCTTCCTCTCCATAGGGGAACTTAGGAAGAGCCTTCTGATCAGGCCAAAAGCCCATCTAGTCCAGCATCCTGTTCTCACAGTGGCCACCTGGATGCCCCAATGAGGACCTGAGCACAACAGCAAGTCTTCCCCCCTCTGTGGTTTCCAGCAACTGCCATTCAGAAGCATCTCTGCCTCCAACTGTGGAAGCAGAGCATAGCCATCCTGGGTAGCAGCCATTGATAGTCTTATCCTCCCTGAATTTGTCTAATCCTCTTTTTAAAGCCATCTAAATGGATGGCTTCAACAACCAATCCCTCTTCCCCCAGAGAACTCTGGAAATTGTAGCTCTAACAATTCCTCACACCCTTAATGAACTGCAGCTCCCAGGATTCCTTGCAGGAAGCAATGGCTGTTTAAAGTGGCGCCCTAGTGCTTTGGCGGTATAGTGTGATCGTGGCCTCTGTCAGCGCCTCTCCATCAGCTCCAGGTTGCCTTTGTTCAAGTTTCACTTAACTTTCTCCCCAAACTTCTGCCAGAGTTTCCCCAGGTTCAGGAAGAACGAAGTGCTGAATAAGGCGCTTTGCCCAAGCACTGCAGCCTTAATTCCTAAGGGGAACGGGGAGGGTGGCAATTTATCTCCTTACTTACCCCAAAGGGTTTTGCTTTTCTTGTCCTTAAATGCAGGCTAATGAAACTATTTACTGAAAGGAAGCATTAAAGGAGGGAGGCGATGAAGAAGGAAGTGCTCGCGTCAGCAGCGTCGTTTTGCCACGGTGACTAGCTGCGGTCTGTGCGATGAGCCCTGGTTCCTTAATGCTACCCTCAGGCTGGCTTCGCCTCTGGAGCCCAGCCCACCCTAATCGGAGAATCCTGTCCCTTGGGAAGCCACAGTCGGATGAGCCGGTCCTCTGAAATAACTTGCAAAGTCCCAGCATTTGCAGAGTCAGCAATGGAGAGCGGTCCAGATCAGAAAGGGAAATCTAATGTTACTTTAATCCCATCCAGTTGGGCATTTTACTGCTCCATTTGCTTCTGTTGTCTTGCCTCCAATTCAGTAATGTCTCTTTGATTTCTACCCTGCTTGCTTCCTTCCCCTCCAAGCAGATTGGTATTTAAAAATGCCTTTTCTTTTGCCCATACACTAGAACTGGGATGCCTATGGCTCCTAGGGTAAAGAGCCATGGTAGCTCAGTGGTAGAGCATCTGCTCTGCATGTAGGAAGTCACAGGTTTGATTCCCAATGGCCTCGCCAGGTAAGGATGGAGGAGTTCACCTGTCAGGAGCAGGTGTCAGGTGCTGGTCAGCAATAAATCACTCGGTGTAAGTGAAGCTAACTGCTCAGGTGGCCAGGCCTAGTGAGCACAGCAATACGTCCCAGTAGATCCTGCCCCCATGAGGCAGTTGAGGGGACTGAAGGTCCCTGACTTCCCACAGCTCCCTACATCTCATCTCCCAGGCTACTGTCATCACGCCTGTCTTTGCTCCTCCCTCTTCTGGTTCTGGGAGACCAGGGGAAGGGGAGCTGGTCACAGCAGGAGGGGAGACCCCCTGGCTTCTTCAGCATCCTGCCACATCTCTGCCTCTTGGCCCTCCTCCTCTTCAACCTTCGCTTCTGTCCCTGGTTCTGGGCTGCTCTCTGCCACAGACTCTTCCTGCTCACGAAACCCTGTTGCCTTTCAAGCTTCCGACACCTCCTCCTCCCAGTCTGCTCTCACTTCTCCCTCTGACCACTGCCAAGGCTTCAGGGAATCCTATTCCTCCCATGGTGGGATGCCAAGAAACAGATAAAAAAGAAGAGTTCTTACCAAGTAGTTTATTAAATATTCACAGAGACAAAGGAATGCGGTCTCTCTTACATAATGGCATTGCTCCAAGTAAAGTCCCACCCCCTTAGCCCCTCCTATTCTACGTCACCCCTGGGCCAACTGATCTGTGCTTTCTGCCTCTGAGCTTTCTAGAATCATAGAATCATAGAATCATAGAGTTGGAAGAGACCACAAAGGCCATCGAGTCCAACCCCCTGCCAAGCAGGAAACACCATCAGAGCACTCCTGACATATGGTTGTCAAGCCTCTGCTTAAAGACCTCCAAAGAAGGAGACTCCACCACACTCCTTGGCAGCAAATTCCACTGTCAAACAGCTCTTACTGTCAGGAAGTTCTTCCTAATGTTTAGGTGGAATCTTCTTTCTTGTAGTTTGGATCCATTGCTCCGTGTCCGCTTCTCTGGAGCAGCAGAAAACAACCTTTCTCCCTCCTCTATGTGACATCATTTTATATATTTGAACATGGCTATCATATCACCCCTTAACCTCCTCTTCTCCAGGCTAAACATGCCCAGCTCCTTTAGCCGTTCCTCATAAGGCATCGTTTCCAGGCCTTTGACCATTTTGGTTGCCCTCCTCTGGACACGTTCCAGTTTGTCAGTGTCCTTCTTGAACTGTGGTGCCCAGAACTGGACACAGTACTCCAGGTGAGGTCTGACCAGAGCAGAATACAGTGGCACTATTACTTCCCTTGATCTAGATGCTATACTCCTATTGATGCAGCCCAGAATTGCATTGGCTTTTTTAGCTGCCGCGTCACACTGTTGGCTCATGTCCAGTTTGTGGTCAACCAAGACTCCTAGATCCTTTTCACATGTACTGCTCTCAAGCCAGGTGTCCCCCATCTTGTATTTGTGCCTCTCATTTTTTTGCCCAAGTGCAATACTTTACATTTCTCTCTGTTAAAATTCATCTTGTTTGTTTTTGCCCAGTTCTCTAATCTGTCAAGGTCGTTTTGAAGTGTGATCCTGTCCTCTGGGGTGTTAGCCACCCCTCCCAGTTTGGTGTCATCTGCAAATTTGATCAGGATGCCCTTGAGTCCATCATCCAAGTAGTTGATAAAGATGTTGAATAAGACCAGGCCCAAGACAGAACCCTGTGGCACCCCACTAGTCACTCTTCTCCAGGATGAAGAGGAACCATTGATGAGCACCCTTTGGGTTCGGTCAGTCAGCCAGTTACAAATCCACTGAGTGGTAGCACAGTCAAGACCGCATTTTACCAGCTTCTTTACAAGAATATCATGGGGCACCTTGTCAAATGCCTTGCTGAAATCAAGGTAGGCTACATCCACTGCGTTCCCTTCATCTACCAGGCTTGTAATTCTGTCAAAAAATGAGATCAGGTTAGTCTGACACGATTTATTTTTCAGAAATCCATGCTGACTATTGGTGATCACAGCATTCCTTTCTAGGTGCTCACAGACTGTTTGCTTAATGATCTGCTCCAGAATCTTCCCTGGTATTGATGTCAGACTGACTGGGCGGTAATTATTTGGGTCCTCTCTTTTCCCCTTTTTGAAAATAGGGACAACATTTGCCCTCCTCCAGTCTGCCGGGACTTCGCCTGTTCTCCAGGAATTCTCAAAAATGACTGCCGGTGGTTCTGAGATCACATCTGCCAGTTCTTTTAATACTCTTGGATGCAGTTCATCTGGCCCTGGAGACTTGAATACATCTAAACTAGCCAAGTATTCTTGTACTATCTCCTTAGTTATTCTGGGCTGTGTTTCCTCTGCTGAATCATTTTCTCCAAATTCTTCAGGTCGGGCATTGTTTTCTTTATCGGAGAAGACTGAGGCAAAGTCTTCTGTTCTACTACTCTCAAGGCACACCTGGTTCTGGGAAGGGGGTGGTCAGGAATGCTTTCAAGAGACACTGAGTGTGTCAGCTGTCTCTCCCCTGGTGCTTCTTCTTCCTGCTGCTCTCCCAATATTTCCCAGCTCCTCCCCTCTGCAGCCTCCAAACTGTGACCTTCTGCAAACCACTGTTCTAAATCTATACTGTCCTCCTCTTCTCAGGAAGGTGCAAGAAGGGGAGGCGGTTCCCACCATTCCTCCTCAGTCCAGCCCCTGACACCCGCTAATTGTCGTCCTACCACCAATCCCCTGGCTCTGAGCTTTCGTCCCCTTGGGGGTTCCCCGGCTGGTCCCTCCCACCAGTCCTCTTGATCCAGCCAGTCCATGACTGAAACCTGGGAGAGATGTTGCCAGTCAGTGTAGACAGCATTGAGCTAGCTAGACTAATGGTCTTACGCTCTGTAAGGCAGCTTCCTAGGTTCCATCGAGACCCAATTTTTCAGTGGGGCCTGCAAACAGGTTGTTTATGTGCCACGGCTCTCTAGAGGAGCCGAGTCGTCTAGACCGTGTCATCACAAACATTATGGCATGGTAAGGGAATCTGTCACCCTATCGCGTTGCAAATGCAAAATGCCAGGAGGAAGCTGAAAATATTTTCGGCATCAGTGGCAATGAAGGTCAGCACCACACCTTCCCTTCCTCCATGTTTTCTTACCTGAGATGAATGACATCATGTTTACCCCTTTGCTGACAATCCCATTCCCCACTTTGGACTTCTTTCGCATTAAGCAAACACATAGGAAGCCACAGCAACTCAGGAATCTGTTTTATACTGAGTTGGGCCATTTGTGCACGAAGCTCACTGGGTGACCTCAGGCCAGCCACTGCCTCAGAACAATAATAACAACAACAACAATATTACTTATACCCCACCTATCTGGCCAGGCCTCCCCAGCCACTCTGGGCTGCTTCCAACAGGATTTTAAAAAACACAATAAAACATCAAACATTAAAAACCTCCTTAAACAGGGCTGCTTTCAGATGTCTTCAAAAAGTCAGATAGTTGTTTATTTCTTTGACATCTGATGGGAGGGCATTCCACAGGGCGGGCACCACTACCAAGAAGACCCTCTGCCTGGTTCCCTGTAACCTCACTTCTCGCAGTGAGGGAACTTCCAGAAGGCTCTTGGAGCTGGACCCTTAGTGTCCAGGCAGAGCGATGGGGGTGGAGACGCTCCTTTGGGTATACTGGGCTGAGGCTGTTTAGGTCTTTAAAGGTCAGCACCAACACTTTGAATTGTGCTTGGAAACATACTGGGAGCCAATGTAGGTCTTTCAGGACCGGTGTTATATTGTCTCGGCAGCCACTCCCAGTCACCAGTCTAGCTGCCGCATTCTGGATTAGTTGTCGTTTCTGGGTCACCTTCAAAGATATGTAGCCTAACCTACCTTGCAGGGTGGTTGTTGTGGGGATTAAATGAGGAGGGGTAGAACCATTTACACTGCCCTCAGCTCTTTGGAGAAAAAGGTGGGATCTAAATAAGCAAGCAAGCAAGCTGTCTGCTTATATTTTGTTAGGCATCATTGAAAACCAATTACAAAAATATACCATTCTTAAAAAATACAGAGGGTGGGGAGTTAGAGGAACGAAAGAAAGAAAGGAATGGAATGGAATGGCATCATTTTCAAAGTCTTTATTGGCATAAGTAAGTCATACAGAATTAACCTCACCGAACACCACACAAAAGCACAAGAGAAAAAAGAAGAAGAGAGCAACCCATTTTTCTTATTATTTTTATTCTTTACAGTCCACGGCAACTCACACCCCAGTCAGACGGCAGAAATAATAAATACTTTTCCTTCGAGTGTAGAAAACTTTTAGAAATGGTCCTGTACAAAATTTACAATCCTCAAAGAAGAACCCTCGTGCCTTATATTTTCATTCCAGTTCAGAGTTTGGGGCAGGGTATTTTTTTCTCTACGTGATCCCCCCCCCCTTTTGCACTAGAGTCAATGTTGGTTTGTTTGTTTTCCAGTGACGAGAATTCGGCAACAACCACCACAAAATAGATATATTTATATTCCATATACAGTTATTTATAATGTTCTTTTTAAAAAAAGAAAGAAAGAAATCTCTAAATGAAAGGGGGAGGGAGACACAATTCTCAGGGGAATGCTCTGCTATGCGTATCCTGTTGCAAATGCTTTTGGGGTGGCGGGGGGGAGGATTCTGCGATTGAATAATAATGAAGGCTTCAATTCCTGCATCGCAGCAGGTTAGGCTAGATGACCTTTGGAGGCCCCTTTCCAACTCTACGATTCTGTGAATGAATGAATGGATTTATTTTGGTCACTGGCCAGAGTGACTATGATTCTGTGATTGTATGAATGGGAGCTGCGTAAGAGCTCTAGGATCGCTCGTTCTCAGCTCTGTTTTACTGGGGTTCGCACAGGAGAGCTTCCACTTTTGATTGTGCCTGCAATGATGTACCACAGCTCACTCTGTCAAGTCAGAACCAACACAGAGAAAACAAAAAGCAGCCATTAATTAAGAAGAAGAAGAAGAAAAAGAACTGGTACAGTGTCTGAGATTTGGCAAATACGTATGCATGTTGCCATATAC